GAAGGCTGGTTTGGTCGGATTCCAGTTCAACACTGTCGGTGTTAGTGATGCTATCAGTATGGGTACCAAGGGAATGCGCTTCTCTCTCCAGAGTCGTGATCTGATCGCCGATTCTATCGAGACCGTTATGGGTGGTCAATGGTATGACGCTAACATCAGCATTCCCGGCTGTGACAAGAACATGCCTGGTGTGTTGATGGCAATGGGACGTGTGAACCGCCCCAGTTTGATGGTCTACGGTGGTACCATCAAGCCTGGTTGCGCCTCCATGCAGGGTAACGCCGACATTGATATCGTCTCCGCCTTCCAGGCCTATGGTCAGTTCATCAGCAAGGAAATCACCGAGCCCCAGAGATTTGACATTATCCGCAACGCCTGCCCTGGAGGTGGTGCCTGCGGTGGTATGTACACTGCCAACACCATGGCTACTGCTATCGAAGTCATGGGCATGACCCTTCCTGGATCCTCTTCCAACCCCGCCGAGTCTGACGCTAAGTACCTTGAATGTCTTGCCGCTGGTGAGGCCATCAAGACTCTGCTCAAGGAAGACATTCGTCCTTCGGATATCCTGACTCGCCAGGCTTTCGAGAACGCTATGGTTTTGGTCAACATCACTGGTGGCTCCACCAACGCCGTTCTTCACTTGATTGCCATTGCGGACTCTGTTGGTATCAAGCTGGATATTGAGGACTTCCAGTCCGTCTCCGATCGCATTCCTTTCTTGGCGGACCTCAAGCCTTCCGGCAAGTACGTCATGGCTGACCTGCACAAGATTGGTGGTACTCCCTCTCTGCTCAAGTTCTTGCTGAAGGAAGGTCTCATCGATGGCTCTGGCATGACTGTCACCGGTCAGACCCTGGCTAAGAACTTGGAGAATGTGCCGGACTTCCCTGAGGATCAGAAGATCATCCGTCCCCTGTCCAACCCCATCAAGGAGACTGGCCACATCCAGATCTTGAGGGGTTCTCTGGCCCCTGGTGGCAGTGTCGGTAAGATCACAGGTAAGGAAGGAACCGTCTTCACTGGAAAGGCTCGCGTCTTTGATGATGAGGATGATTTCATTGCTGCTCTCGAGCGCAACGAGATCAAGAAGGAGGAGAAGACCGTCGTTGTCATCCGCTACACTGGTCCTAAGGGAGGACCTGGCATGCCCGGTAAGTTGCTACAGCAAATGCTCTCCTTTCCACTGCGCACGTGTATCAGTAAAGCTAACGAATTGCGACGAGTAGAAATGCTGAAGCCCTCTTCCGCCCTGATGGGTGCCGGCCTCGGACAGTCCTGCGCCCTGATCACCGATGGCCGTTTCTCCGGTGGTTCTCACGGTTTCTTGATCGGACACATTGTTCCTGAAGCCGCCGTCGGTGGCCCCATTGGTCTGGTCAAGGATGGTGATGTTATCACTATTGATGCCGTGAAGCGTGTTTTGGATCTTGATGTTGAGGAGACCGTCCTCGCGCAAAGAAGAAAGGAGTGGGAAGCCGACAAGGCTGCTGGCAAGCTCCCTCCCACCGGCCTGACCCTCAGAGGTACTCTCGGCAAGTACGCTAGGTACGTATCACACACTTTTAACTGGCATCACATATATCTATACGATGCATATCTATGGCTCATGTCTGGACGCGCTGCTAACGTTACCCAATAGAACCGTCAAGGATGCCAGCCACGGCTGTATCACCGACTCTCTCGAGTAATCGGGATGGCATATATGATTATATGTCCTTCTTTGCGTCCATATATTTCTTCGAAAGTAACTTGTGTCTTATATCAATCTCTTTTTCCTTTTTCAGCTACTCTATCTGGGATGATTTTGGGTCGTTTTGAGTCTGGGACCGCACGTGGCTACTGTTTTGTATAGGCGAATTGAAACGAACCAAAAGTGCTGCTTGTTATGACCTCACTATATGGTCTCGTGTATTTACAGAAGATCAAATACAGCAAATAATATTGTTAAGAAATCATCTATTCTACCTGGGAAGCGAGGTCGTTTACTCCGCACCCCATATCCGTTCCACGGGTCGCATCTGGATGCACGTGGGCCGTACGTCACATGACTGTCGCTTAGTGTTTGCAAAGTTTGTAAATTTTTCTTATCGGCTTCTACCATCTATCGAGGGGCGTCTCGTTCCTACTTGGCTCAAACCTTACTTCGTCGGACTCACATCTTTCCAGGCCCCTGCTGGAGTATATCTTAATCATGGCTCCTGCTCCGATCGCATCTTCGAGCGATGATATCGCGACTGTTCTCCAACTAGTTACGCCGCCTCAGATTGCCCCGCACCGCTCCCACGACCCCTCCAACAATCAAAAGCGGAGTGATCCCTTCCAGTTCGGCTCCCGGTACCTCGAAGAAGGAGACGATGTCTTCGAGTTCAACGCCTGGGACCATGTCGAGCCCGACGACGAGTTCAAAGCGTTCGCAGAAGTACAATATTCGAAGCAGCGCGAAACCCCGGTTTCGGATTTCGACAGAAACCGTTTCAATGCCGACCCTGCCAAGTGGTGGAACCTTTTCTACAAGAACAACACAGCCAACTTCTTCAAGAACCGAAAATGGCTCCGCCAGGAGTTCCCTGTCCTTGCGGATGTAACTCAGTCTACAGCAGGAAAGAAGGTGGTGCTGGAGGTCGGTGCAGGTGCCGGAAATACTGCCTTCCCATTGTTGGAAAACAACGAGAACGAGGAGCTCATGGTCCATGCTTGTGATTTCTCCAAGACCGCTGTCAAGGTCATGCGCGAGAGCCCACACTACAACACTAAGCATATGACAGCTGATGTGTGGGATGTCACGGCGGAGCCGGATGAGAACAGCAATGGACTTCCTCCTGGCCTTACTGAGGAGTCGGTCGATGTCGTCGTTCTCATCTTTATCTTTTCTGCCTTGGCCCCAGAACAGTGGAACCAGGCTCTTCGTAATGTGTACCGCGTCTTGAAACCCGGCGGACATGTTCTGTTCCGCGATTACGGACGGGGCGACTTGGCACAGGTTCGCTTCAAGAAGAACCGATACATGGGCGAGAACTTCTACGTTCGTGGTGATGGAACACGGGTGTACTTCTTTGATCGCGACGAGCTTGAGAAGATGTGGGGCCAATGGTCTCCGGAGAAGGGCTTGCCCACGGCACTTGCGACAGGAGAGGAAACCGAGGCCAAGGATGAACAGAGCCTTACTGACATCAAGGGTGTCTTTGACATCGAGAAGCTAGGTGTCGATTACCGGTTGATCGTTAACCGTCAGCGCAAGCTGAAGATGTACCGATGCTGGATTCAGGGCCACTTCCTCAAGCGCGATACCACTCCCGCCGTCGATGCTTCGAATAACGAATCGTGATATCCTTTGATTCTTCCGCAAAGGCTTAGCCATGGCTCTGGGGCGTGGTGGAAATTGCAGGATGATCACTCATAGTGGCGTCGGCATGAACAAGCTACTGTTGTCTAGACCACATGCAAACAGCCAGCTTCTTTCCATGTCACACATCTATTACATGAGGATTCGGAGACTTCCTTTCGTTCGGAAGATGCTTCAAACCCATCCGACGCTCGAACGAACTCTCGGAAATCACATGGAACGGAGGCTTAGGGCAGTTGATCACGCGCACAACCAGTTCGTTGCGGCGTCTAGTTGATACTCTAATCGACTTTTCGTGAAAGATATGACTGTCATTCGGCGCCAGTGTTCACGTTCTCAATGAACGCAAAAGTGAGTTTCTGATCCTCGATGGAGGATCTGATGATACCCATGACGATAGATAGAGACTAGACTAGAACTCATTTGGTTACATTTTTGGGGCGAATTTCACATGGATCAATTGATCGCATTAATTTCCGCGTCCCATTCATTGGGCGGATGTCGAAAGCCTTGTTCTACCCTAAGTATCACAAGCTCAAGTAGAATGACCCTATCGACATTCCCAACAGCTCATGGTACGTAGGTGAGCTTTATGCTTGCCCCCTCATAGTCCGAAGAAACAGACTCAGCGTGGTATCTTGATAATCTCTGTTAATTGACACTATAAGGCGATGTCTGACCCAACGAGACCCATGCATAGTCCGGTATGAGCAGGGATCGCAAGTCAAAGGCACCTTGAACTGAAACAAGGGAGATCTGGCCATACTCAGAGACTCAGAACACCAAGGGATCAAACAAACCCCGAGCGGATGTTTTCAGCGGCCACGCGGACATGCCACAGAAGCGGAAGGGGTCTTGTGTCGATTGGTATGTGAGATTCCTCATTCCTGCACTCGTCACCCTTCCATCTGCAACAAAGCCACATAGACAGCTACTGCCGACCCATGTTTCGGATCAGCTCAGTCTTAATTTGCCTTCATGGCTGACAAGTTATCTATTTGTTTATGTCTGACAATGAGATCAGGCATTCGGTCATGTTATATCCTTCAACAACGCCCCTATGGCAGGTGATACGGTCTGCTGAAGACCTCAACGCCATCCAACCACCATAACCGCAGCTTCAGCAGTCGTCGATCCTGTCCTATTCCGTCGTTCATCTGCCTTACCTATTGCATCTGAAAGCCCTGTTCGGTGTCTTGCGCCTATCAGGGAAAACGTGCGCACTGCACCCACTCTTTCCGGCTGGAGTCTGGGAAATCTGGACGGTCCCAGGCAGATCGGTGCCAGGGCAAAACCTTGATAAAAATAACTTGTTCGATCTTGGGTCCGACGGCCAATTGTATACGCACTGGAGACTCTTGATGATTCGGTCCGTGACGTACGTGCACCTCCACACTCCATCGGTGGATTATGTGTCCCCGTGGGCACGCGGAGATCGGGGGCGTTAGTCGAGAAACTTGCCTAATCTAGTGACAAGCAGGAAAGTAAAAGCTATCCGCATGCGACTTGCAGATCTTCCAGAGGGATATAATAAAGTCGTGCATCTATGACCTTGCAGGACACAACCCGCCCCCTCCTGCCTTCTATATTATCGATACCCTCTGCCACTAGCGTCGTACATCACTCTTCACAATTCATTCTGCTCTCATTTATCATGAAGTTCACAAACTACCTTTTGACAACTGCATCACTCGCAAGCAGTGTCCTAGCGGTTCCAGCTCCCCGCACCGGTTTGGAGGACAGACTCCGTACGCGGTCATTGCAGCGCCAGTCACATCCTCTTGCACCACTTCCACTTGACACATCCACCAAAGAGGAGTCCAGACTCCTCGTATCCGACGAAAATACCACCCATGTTACATACAGCAGTAATTGGGCGGGCGCAGTGCGCGAGCAACCACCTCCGCAAGGCACGTATTCTGCCGTGTCGGCAACATTTCGCGTACCAGAACCCACGGCGCAAGGGGGGAGTGGAACGCAGGCTGGATCGGCCTGGGTCGGGATAGATGGCGACACATACAGCAACGCCATTCTCCAAACAGGAGTCGACTTCTATGTGGAAAACGGGCAGACGTACAACGATGCCTGGTATGAGTGGTATCCAGACTATGCATACGACTTCGACCTGGATGTGAGTACAGGTGACACCATTGTCGCCAAGGTGGAAGCCATCTCGCCAAGTCAAGGCGTAGCCACAATTGAGAACATATCAACAGGGAAGAAGGCTACGCAGACGATCAAAGCCCCAGCTGCGACAGCCACACTTGCCGGCCAGAATGCCGACTGGATCGTGGAGGATTTCCAGTCTGGCGACTCAATGGTCGACCTGGCTGGTTTCGGCGAGATCAGCTTTTGGGGCGTGCAAGCACAAGGGGGAGGGTCAACATGGGGTGTAAATGATGCGACTATTGTCGAGCTGAAGCAGGGCGACCAGGTGTTGACGGACGTGGAAGTGCAAAGTGACTCGGCCTTCACCGTGTCATATACGAGCTGATGTGACGGTATATGATTACATTTTCTCATTCTTCGATCATTTTTCTCCATTTTGGCCGGTGACATAATTTCTGTGGTTAATTTTGAAGATGCCTTGATGTATTTCGGTAGTACTACTTAGCTTAAGGTTGATACATCCAGCATGCGGGCTCGGCTATTGGGAGGAACCAAGAAGGCTATATGGCCCTCGGGTATTTGCCGCATTCTATGATCGCATGCCTTTTCGGCTTTCCTTATATATATCTACTTTCCACTTCCCCAAACCAACTCATGTTCGATGCGAGAATCTATCCATACACACAATTAATCATGTCCCGTATATACCAACTAAGTCGCGCCCTTCAACACAGCCGAATTGGCGCCCTCTGGCCGGGCTCCTCCCTACTACCCGCCCGGCCCTCCCGCCGCTGCGGCTTCAGCACCAGCGCCGCACGCCCATTAATGGAACTAACAGGCTTCACCGAAGAACAACTAACAGTCCGCGACGCGGTATCTGCCATCTGCTCCAAATTCCCTAACACATACTGGCAAGAATGCGACCAGAACGAGCGCGACCCGAAAGAGTTCCACGCCGCCCTAGCCCGAGACGGATGGTTAGGGATCGCGCTGCCTGAGGAACTAGGAGGCGCAGGTCTAGGTAGGCCATTCCCCCCAACCTTTGCCACTCTTCACAGTGTTATATGGCTAACATCACATCCAGGAATCTCCGAAGCAACAATGATGATGCAAACCATCACGCAATCCGGTGCCGGCATGGCCGGCGCACAAGCAATCCACGCCAACGTGTACGCAACACAGCCACTCGCCCGGTTCGGCACGCGCGAGCAACTAGAAGAAACCATCCCCAAGATCATCGACGGTACATGGCGCACATGCTTCGGCGTCACGGAGCCCAACACGGGCCTCGAAACGCTCAAGCTGAAGACTCTCGCCACCAAGAAATCTTCCGAAGATGGTAGTAGCATCTACTCCGTCTCAGGGCAAAAGATCTGGATTACCTGCGCGCAAGTCGCTAGCAAAATGATCTTATTAGCGCGCACGACGCCGCTGGAAGAAGTAACCAAGTCCACGCAGGGTCTATCGATGTTCTGCATCGACCTTGACCGCACAAAGCCCGGTTTAGATATGCGCAAGATCAAGAAGATGGGCGGACGGGCTGTCGATGCTAACGAGGTATTTTTTGATGGGTACGAAGTACCCGCGAACACGCTCATCGGGCAGGAAAACGATGGATTCCGGATTATTCTGCATGGTATGAACGCGGAGCGGTGTTTGCTTGCCGGTGAGGCATTGGGGTTGGGGTATGCGGCGCTGGAGCGAGCAGCGGATTATGCGAAGGAGAGGGTGGTGTTTGGACGGCCGATTGGGCAGAATCAGGGCATTGCGCATCCGTTGGCGGATGCGTATATGAGGTTGGAGGCGGCCAAGTTGGCGACGTATCATGCTGCGAGACTGTATGATGCGTCGAAGAAGGATGAGACGATTCCGTTGCATTCGGTGGGAGTGGCGTGTAATAGTGCGAAGTATTTGGCTGCTGAGGCGGCGTTCACGGCGTGTGAGAGGGCAGTGCTGAGCCATGGGGGTATGGGGTATGCGATGGAGTATGATGTGGAGAGGTATTTGAGGGAGTGTCTGGTGCCTAGGATTGCGCCGGTGAGTAGGGAGATGATTTTGAATTATGTTAGTGAGAAGGTGTTGCAGTTGCCGAGGAGTTATTAGGGTGGTTCTCGGATGTCATCATGGAAATATGATGTGTTCAATATACTACTAGTATCTTCTATCCACAAACTTCATAACTTTATTCCCCGTACCGCTCTTCTCGAACCCACCTATATCTTCAACAAAAGTCAATTTAAACAAATGCCTATTATCCGGTAAAACAAAGAAGAACGTCTCCACTTCATAGACAAACTGCTCAAGAGAGATCATATCGTTACTCGTACTCGCCGCGGCACGAAGCATCCTAATCTCCATTGTTGTCTGGGGCGAAGAATCAAGCGTCCCTACAATAATCTGCCACTGCAGAATCCCAAACGCCTCCTTCTGCATGAACTTCTTAATATTCATAAACTCAAAATACTTACTATACTACTTAAAGCTAAACCGCTGGTCACGACCCCGGAGTCAGAGTATATGGTAGTATTCCAGCTCAGACTCCGGGACAGTGGACCTTGCATTGCAAGATCGGGCACTGGATAGACAGATCCAAGATCTCCAGTGATATAGCGCACCAGCGGGTTCCGTCGACGCTGCAACGACGTTTGCACAATGACACCCTCTTCACCCTCCGACAAAGGCATCAAGTCAGAGAAGGGCGTATTACTGTCCTTGACGGAACAAGGGAAAATCTCAATAAGGATGCTGCGGGTATCGAACACAAAGTCCATAGACCCATCATATTAACGTGATAATGCTTCTCCAGTAAGATCAGGATTATGGATCGCGTATGGCCCGGCCTCTGCGCTTCCTAAGATGGAGTATATCTTCACTGCCGGACCCAGTATGGCATAAATATCTATTTTCTGACTGTCAGTAAATGGCTCGGAGGTGTGTATCACTTTAGTTATTTTAATCCCATTTCACTCATCTGCTGAGAGAGTCAAGATATAATGAATAATCTGGATCACTTAACTGGAATCACTAGTCAACATATTAACATTGTATCACGCCAGTGCGCGCACAACTTCGCTGGATTTCATCAAGTTACCCGCGCTCAGTATGGTTCCTCCTGCATTTTCCAGGATCTCAGTTAGGAGGTCGAGTAATCTGTGTAGTATTAATAAAATATCAATTTCATTCTTCTAGTTCACTTGTCCTCAGGCTTGGAAAAGTAACCTACCTATACAAATACCCCAAGGTATGCGTCATCAGTATCCAATCATGCAGCTCAACAACTCCACAGGTACGCAGAAACTCCCCGAAAGCTGTGCGATGTTGACGATTTTCTTTCACATCTGTGAAGAACATCAATAGTATATCTCCGGAACCGCCGCCGGTGACACTGACATAGGAGCTACGCCGGTATTCATTTTCGGGGCTCGTGTCCTTGGTTAATCGCGGGATAACTTTGTAACTGGTAAGATGGTTATGAGTATATTACTTAGCTCGCAAAGGAGGAGACGTTTTAGTAGCTCATGAAATTCACAGGTCTTTTTTGGCAGTTAGGGGCCATGATTCAAGGGTGTTACTAGTAGTAGATTGGGCCTGCACAATAGCCTGGATTTCCTCAGGCCCGGGTGGGTATAATACATTAGGGTTGTAAAGCGGATGGATTTTCGCAACTGCGAGAACTTCACCCAAGGAAAATGGTTTGGTACTCATCACGATGGAGAAAGGAAATAATCACAAAGAAGTTCCTAATGTTAGGGTTTCGAAGAACAGGGGATTTGTTATACCCTCACGTCGCAGTCACCTATAGGCTCAGACTGACGCCGTTCAGAACTCAATGATACTTACTACGTGGTCTGCTAGTCGCAACAAGCCAGCTGGTAATTGAATGAGTACTCGAAAACTGCAATGTGGAGTATACGTCCAATCGTGGCGTTTCATATCCAGTGATTGGCGTAATCCTGTCTATTTTCCTCCGATGGCCAACACCACGAAATAGAGATTCACTTCCCAGGGCTGGCTGCATAGGCTGCAAGTGAGTAGGACGCAAGATCGGGTTTACGAGTTCCAGGTAGGGGGTTGTATTACGTTGCAACATAGGCATTCGTATCCTCTGCATTTGAATTGGTTACTACCAAAGCATTATGAACTGAGCTGCTTACTATAGGTACCCCGTATAACCTCATGTTCTCAACAAGTAAGCAGTCTGAATCCATTACTCCCTGGGTCCCAGCTCAAAAGTATACTGCTTCGACGCAGGTGACACCCTCCAGCGTGCAAACAGCTGCCCATTCTCCACCAGAATGCGCCGCAACATCTCCCCCCTCTCCTCTACACCAGGCCATATACCATGCCATTCGCGTACATACGGTTCCATGATCTCCAAGGCTTCTCTGACCCACCCCCCTGCCCTCTCCCTGTCAATTAATCCCTCCTGCACCATTCGCCTTCCCAGCTCGCCCAAGAACCGCTCCCTCTCCTGCCTATCTTTCACCGCAGCATGCATGACCGCTAGTAGTATATGCGACCGGATTGACAAGTCCAATTCATTTATATCAATTCCTTGGAGCCTTAATCCAAGTGTTCCCTCCACTGCAACAGCGGCGAGAAACTCTACCTCCTCCTCCTCACTCCCAACCTCTCCATCCCACCCCCTCCACTACGCCTGCACTCCAATTCCTCCATCCGGCCACCCACACCACATCACCTGCTCTGACTGGCTATTTCCATCGGGACCCTCTCCCTCCGATATTTGTGCAAGATACTCTGTCTCCAGCCCATGTATATCATACATTCCCTGCGCGACCAATATCCCAAACCCGTCGGGTCCCTCTCTTTGCCGGGGGTTTACCTCAGCCACGCGAGATGGTGAAGTATCAGGAGTAAAATAGTCAAGCCAGAGGCGCGCATGTGATTCCGAATAGGATGGTGCGCTGGGGTTGGCCGTGTGCTGGCGTGTCATAGTTGCCTCCAGCGTGTTGAGTGCCAATGAAGTAAGCGTGGCAAATGGTAGAAAGGGCTGCCTACGGTGTGTACACGCGACAGTGTAGGCCCAGCGAGATAGTTGCAAAATGTGTATAGATGATGCCGGACTTTGACGCGGCTGACATAGTGGGGAGGAGGAGTCGGGAAGGTCCTGGAGGTCGGGCAGGCGGTAGAAGCGCGCTGTGGTGCGCTGGGTGAGGAATGGGGTAGAGTAGTAGGAGCGCCAGGCAGAAAAGTGCAGGAGGTCATGGTGGGCTGTGTAGAAAGCAGAAAAATTAGAGAAGGAGGGGAAGTCTTCTTCCAGTTGGGAGGAATAGCGGTAGATTGCTGCTGCTAGCTGTGCGAGGTAGAATATATCCAGGGAACTATTATATACAAGTTAGTATGGATCCAGTGCGCTGGAGGGATTGTCATAGTATTAAAAAGCTTACTCACTGATTATAGCGTAACTCGTCCTCCCCAAAGGACAAGCCATGCGAGTGTAGCTTCTCCACAACATCGAACACCCCATTCCCGGTCCACAGTCCCTCGTGCAGATAGATGAATGCGATCCGCAAGACATCCTCATGACAGGTCTCTGGCACGATGCTGCCTTCAACATTGGCCAGGAACTCTTCAGCGCTCATTGTATTGATTATGGCACGTGCGTCAATAAGAAGATGGATGGTGAAAGGGGAAGAGAATATGGAAGTTCAGAACCGTCCCGCAGCCTCCCAAGATACGTTTGGACCTCCTTCCTATTTAGGAAAAAGCTAACTTCCTTTCATGGGCCTACCGACCGAAGCCAAGCAGAATATACAATCTACTTCTTCGTCACCAAGCCTTGTCCATAACTGAAAACTGCTCAACTGCTACAGGAATATGCTACTGAACTATGCTGCTATCATTTAATAAGGTAGGAAAAGGTCTCGTATCCCAACAAACCCTCCGTAAATGATGCTCCGGATCCCTGATATGACTCCGAGCATGAAGCCATCTATAATTATCCATTAAAATTACAGAACCCCTGGGCAAATAATCTAATATGAGCTGCAGTATTTCTGCCTGCACTTTCTGTCCCAGTAAGTAATTCTTTAACTCCTGCAACGCCAGCGCCGTCTCTGCAGTCAACGGGGTAATAATATCTTCGCGAAGATAAATTATATTAAGCAATCTTCCAGTATCCGTAGCTATCAAGCTGTCTATAACATGGCATTTTATATCATATTTCATAAATTCGGGTGGGACAGTAATATGATATTTAGGCTGGAGTAGGGCAGTGTAAGTTAATATTAATAATAAAAAATTTAATCTACTAATATTTATTACAGAGAGAGTACCATCTCCATAATAGTCTTCCCATAGGACCTATAAGACAAAGTACCAGGATAAAGCTTTTTCATAATTATAGTTAGTATACTAAGAGAACTCCTCTATTATCTCAGATCAGATCTGATGTGATAGGGTTTAGAACATTATACTGTTAGGTTAAATATCCTAGAACCAGCTATAGAATATATTATGGGTGATGAGCAGTCCGTGGCTATAATATTTATAAAGATTAATTATAAGCTGTTGAAGGTAGTGACTGGAATTATTCTTAAATTTCAGGCTAATTTTAAGAATGCTAGTTTGCCGGAGGGTGTTTGATACATCTATAATATGGCTGGGATGATTTACATGACAGAGATTGTTGGCTACCAGATGTGGCACAGCGCGTGATATCTCTGATTTTTATCAGGTGTGTCAGAAGGCCCTCCCCCTATCGTCGCTTGAAGGTCAACTTACTAGCTGTACAGCCCAATAGTTTAGTGGGCTTGCTGCTCCTTATTGCTTGCTGCATTTTCAACGAGATTGGGCTCAGCCACGGACCCAATATACGACTTGATAGAGGTCCGTTAGAAACGAAAACAGACAATAAAGGGGAAAGGCAAGCAGGAGAAGGCTTCAGACTGTTCTGATGTAACAGAATGTCTCTGTATGTTGTAGCACCGACAAGAAACGCAGCTTGCTAATCTAAGTTATCTGATCAGTTAAGGCGAGGGACAGGAGCTACATGGGCTACATATAGAAGCCCCCATGAAAGACAATGCGAATTGAGGCAAAGAAAGGCTCAGCTGGAACTAAGCACCAGTTCGTATGTCTCCACGTTCGGTCCTACTCTCGGTGCAAGCCTCCGGACACTCGTATGTTGTACTTGCTCTGCTGCATCTGCGATTGGAAACTTACATCCAGTTGGATTCTCTTGTGATCAAGACAATGTGGATTATGTCATTAATGTAATTCAGCAAATCCTCAACCTTTCAGTTGTTGAAAGCTGATGTCCAGATTTTCTACATCCTAAACCTAAAGCTTTTTGCCTATGCCCAAATAGGACATTTGGCTTCATGTCTGGATCACTGATCCTATTTATCACCAATTAAATGTACAAACCATGCAAGAACACATACCACCTAAGAGACTTCCTGTTTTATACAGGCAAAAAACATCTCTATTAACTAAGAGATTAATCACTGTTAATGACAGAGCACGTCCACGCTCCTCCATGGCTGATAGCACAGATCCTTTGCGGACTACACCTCCACACTCCAACACCAAGAAACTCACCCTGGATCGAATGGTACGTCCCAACAAGGGGATATCGAGCCATTTCGCCCGTCGCTTCTAATACCACATCGTACCGAACTTGATTCACTCTGCGCTGGACAATGCACGTTCCAGGTCCCAGCATAGAGGAGCGCAAGTCCTCTAATCTTGACGCCCATTCCGCAGCGTCAAGGTCTTCGCCAAATACAATCCCTTCTCCTTTTCCACTTCGGACTGGCTTCAGGATATACCCATTCTTCAGCCCCGGATTCCTCTTGCAGTACTCAATGAAGCGTTCGAGCTCCAATGAGCCAGGAAGTAGCGTATCAGCAATGCCTTTGTTGAGAGTCTTGGCCTGTGCGGGTGTAATGGTGTTTCTTTCTACCAGTGAGTCGAGTTCCTGCCTGACGATTCCCAGCATCCGCTTGTCATGCACCAGCAGAATCGTGCGCATGTCATTGAAGCATCTGAGGCTGATTTGACGGAGCATCTCCGGACTCAGAGCGCGCAGTTCTCGCTGGTGCAGCTCAAGACCGACTTGATGGATCTCTTCCAGGGCCTCTCCGTTGTGATAGATCAGTGACAAAAAGCGCTCAGTTTCTTGAGATTCGGATTCCCTAACCACGCAGCAGAGTCTGTAACTATCCTTGTCTTCTGGGTCTGACACAAGCCTGAGATCAGTTGGCAGGACGAAGCGAGGGTTGATTTCAAAGCGTGTCCTGAGCAAATCCACAACCATGTGGATGTCAATCCCATGTTCATCACCTTTGAGAAGATGCAATGGCAGGTTGGGATCGAACAAACTCAGAATACCGCCTAGCATCTACTCAGGTTGTATTGTTAACTACTTCATGGTACCGCTCAATGACCAGTATCATGAAAAACACAACTTACCTTTGCGGGCTCCGTCGCACTGACCAAGTCATTACTTCCATCAGCAATACTTTGCTCCTTCAAAGCCTGTTGCCCGCAAGCTGCATACATCAATCCATTGAAAGAAAATCGAGCATTGATTTCACTGATTCGAAAGTTTTCTACAGAACCAGGTGCCCCTTCGCTGTCTTCTTCAACCAGGAAATCCGGTCTCCATGAGCCGCGGCACTTTCGGTACGGAGGTATCTTGCTTGGAACTTGACTATCAATCCACTAAGATATGTATCATTTAGTAACGTGGGTTCTTTCAAAGCACTATATGGGGGCATAGCATACACGAAGAAGGTCCTCCTCCACAGGATCCAGCGGCATACGTTCAGGAAATCTAGACACCGAATCCGTCCACCACCTCTCAACAATATCGGTTAAAGCAGAGACTAAAGCATTGTTCAGCTCTTTCCATTGGCGCTGGTGCTCTGAGGAGACAAGAATAGGCCGAGGAATGAAGGCTGATCTTGAGCTGTTGTTCCATGATTTATCAGAGGAGAATTGCAACAGGCTCTCCTGGATCGCCTCATCGTCTAGGTCGTATGCCGCATTTCGAGAGTCGAGGGAACTAATAGGCTCGTATCCTCCTCCACTGAGGGGGATATGGACTTGTTGAAGGCGTGCTGGGGCTGGCGGCTCCATTGTGCTCGGACATACGTAAACGTGTATGTTCAGAGGTATAAGTGGGCAATTACTTCTTTTTCAATGTGATGAGGTTGGATGTTCAGTAGTAGTGGAGATCCTTGTATTGCCTCAGCTTCAATACATATGAAGGTGCATGTAATCGATTCATATCGATTACCAGGATATGCCTGCAGCTGACGGGCTCTCCTATCCCTTCCACACCGCGCTCCACCACTTGGGCAGCACAAACGAGAAATACATCAATCTCAGCCGATCGTAGTCAGAGTCTCTTACTTCTAGCTACAACACTAACTCTTGCAGCTACAGCGGAATTCCGAGGTTCATGACGCAGGCAAATTCCCAACTACCAGGCTCATACCATTAGTACCTAGCCGAAGAAAGTAAAGTGGTAATTATCGAGACCAAGAAGCTTAGGGATTCATGGTACAGCTAGTCATGATACAATTCCATTATCCCCCGTGTACTAGTTATGTACCGGGATCAGGGTTGCATCGCAGTAGCACAGAATACGGGTTAGCAATGATTGCTATTAGCTGGATATGAACATTACTGTATGTATCTGGGTGATAGATTTAGGAATTACGTATTCGAAACTTTCCATCACTATGTACTCCGGGAGAATTATTGTGTATACGTCTTTGAGTATGCCATGGTTGTGATTTCGACGGCTTAAAGGTTTTGAGCTATCACTTCCGGACAGACACGCCGAGCTACGATTTGAGTCAAGCACAGCGGGCGGCCAGCAGGCATGTCGGATCAGGAATATGGAACTGTGTATGTTGTTTGCATTGTTATATCTACAGTCGGCTAACATATAAGTTCTCACTGGGTAAGATGCTGCCATGCATGCATGTTCCAGGGCATAAATTCAGAAGTGGAAACTCCAGGCCTCCATTAAACTGAAGTAATTAGCATATTTACAACGCCCGCGAACTAGCTACGCATGCAATCTATGTCAACTGCTAGTTTCCGCCTGGACTGAATCTTGTAAGACTCTACCGTCCTGTCTCTCCGATCCAACAACCTCCGCAGGTGAGTCGTCGGAGCTTTTTTGAGAATGTAACACTTGCTTATAGACCGGCTGTTCTTCCTCCTTCAAACCACACCCGGACGGGTCTCTTCGGATGAGGAAGTGTTGGACCCTTGCATCTACCGACTGCATTTGATGTTGAGTATTCTCCCTGCGCCCTTTCAAAAGGCGGGATGACTCTTGGTTCAGCTCCCAAAGCCGGTCTTCGTAACCGCTGCTGAGCTTGCTAATCCAAGATGCCTGGAGCGCTCCGCCCATTAATGTCAGAAGTATAACGAATGTTGCAAAGGTCCGATGGTCCACCAGAGTCTGCTGTTTTCCCTGGTGACGATTATTCCACCTTTCCCAGTCTTCCCAGGTCGCGTTCGCGTATATTGGACCGTAGTTACTGGAGCCCGTTCTAGCCCAGGATGGGATCGGCGTTTCATACGGATGGAGGTTCCACCCCGCGCCACTGAAATCGTAGGCTGCCCGTCTACTAGGGTCAGATAGGATTTCATGCGCAGCCACTAGGATGTGGTATCTCTGAAGTCTCACTTCGGGTGTGAGGTCTCTGCATAGTGGATGTCCGCTACATGGGCGATCCGGATGGTAGATTTTGACCATTTCATAATAGCGGGTCTTGGAATAGGGTGCGGTCCGATCTTGTTTAAATAGCTCATATGGGGTGAAAGTGGGAGAAGACGGCCATGAGAGATCCGTCTCCGGGTTGTGAGAAGCGGTGGCATAGCGCCTAGTGGAATAGCGAGACTGTGAGGGGAAAGCGCGAGACCGAGGTGGCGAGGACAGGCATGGGTGGTTCAGTAACTGCAGTCCACCACCACAGCAAAGGATGTTGGGTTTCTTGAGCATGGCCGCATGGTTTCACATGGAGAGATATGTAAGACCTCTCCGGAATGTTTTAGACCGAAGGCAAGGTAGAAAGCACCGGGGTTTGAACGGGATTGTCTGGTTGTCGATACAAATAATCCCGCTAATTCCGAAGTTCGGATCTCCACATGAGGTCATCACGTGCGGGTCTCCAAGCTCCAAAGCTTCCCGCATGAAAACTACCTCCATCCCCGTCGTCGACGCTGTATATAATTCCGCTGTATAGAAAATGCCTGATTCACGCGACGATCACGGCCGGAGACGGCACCGATCCCCCTCCGGCTCACCAGCTCCTGACCGCGATCGACGACAGCGACGCCGTGACGACGACCGTGGCAGCGATTCGGGACATCGCGAATCTCATCGAAGCTCCCGGAGAGACAGCTCGCGACGGAGGTCATCCCGCAGTCCGGCCGACCGACGAAGCCACAGAAGAGATTATGACCGTCGGCGCAGTGAGCGCAGGGATAAGGAGGATGTCTCGGACGATGACCGGAGAAGACGCCGACATACTTCCGACCGAGAATCCTCATACCGTCGTCACCGTGACCGAGATTCTTACGACAGAAAGGAGAAGTCTTCTCGCAGACGACGTGATTACTCGCGATCCCGCTCGCCCACAAGACGCTCGCCGGACCCGGACTCGCGCGCCCCAGTACGATCAAAAGCGCCCCTACCTCCGCAGCAGGATGCATATACCTCGTCTGAAGTAGCTCGGACTGGAGACTCGGAAGGCCCTCCTCCCGAGAAGGAAAAGCCTAATTTTGGTCAAACTGGACGATTGGCCGCTGAGAGCAAGACTGTGAATGTCAATGGTAACTCTGTCGTTCTCAAATATCACGAGCCCCCGGAAGCGCGCAAACCCCCAGCAAAGGAACCGTGGCGACTTTACGTGTTCAAAGGGCAAGACCTCCTTGAAATGGTGGAATTGGGCATACGCAGTTGTTGGTTGATTGGGAAAGAGCAATTGGTAGTGGATTTTCCTCTAGAGCATCCGAGTTGCTCTAAACAGCATGCCGCGCTGCAGTTTCGCTATGTCGAAAAGCGGAATGAATTCGGAGATCGGATCGGACGTGTCAAGCCTTATCTGATAGATCTGGAAAGCGCCAATGGTACTACAGTGAACGGAGACGCGATTCCCGCTGGCCGGTACGTGGAACTGCGGGACAAGGACGTGGTCAAGTTTGGCCTTAGTACCCGGGAATACGTCCTCATGCTACCTCCGCCTGAATAGGCATGATATTCGATAGACATTATTCCGCATTGGTCTCTTAATGCAATGGGTGCCTTGGAGAATCATCAAATTTTCAACATTGGCTTCGAGACCCGTGTCCGGAAACTCAACACGTGGATATACATCCCGTTCGGTCACTTCGTTTGGCGTGCTTGTTAAAGCCCCTGGCAGTTCGTGCCACCCAATTCCAGTCTGTCTAAATCATATGATGAAGTTCCAAGCTGTTCGTGAAAGCAGGCTTACTCATCTTAATGATTGGTTCCTACGGGGTCGCTTGAGGTGTCCTCATCATCCAATGCATTCGCTCCATCCACCAACTTAAAGCCCTTCTTATGTCCAGCTGAACGATGACACGACGGCTGTTAATTGGGGAGCAAGCCAGCTGCTACGTAAACGTCAAGTATACCCCCGGCGCGCTTGTTCGTCAAATGCTCGCATTGCCATAGGCCCAAATCAATGCCTGTGGAACGATGCCTTTCAGTCTGGGACTTTCCTGTGTGTATATTTATTGGGATACCATCGAATAACCTTGGGGAAAGGACATGCTCAGGAGTCAGGGAGATATAGACACCGAAGTCGAACAGAGAGAATACTTGGAGAATTTGCAAAGCCTCATGACAAGCAAGGATATTCCGCCCTTACTAGGATTTACTGGCTAGTTTTAGTTATAAGTGGACATACTAGGCATGCTCTTAGTCATTGGTATCCATTGGGTTATGAATAGTCACGTACTACTAGTAAGTAGTAGTTGTAGTAGAGATTGAGACCATTCGCCATGGGAGTACAAGTGGTAGTGACCAGTTTATATAAGCAGCGTGATACTGTTTTTCATCTATGATCCAACTTGTATACTATGTGGCACCAGCTATCAACAGGGACTTCTCATTAGTTCGCTCATAATGGACTTTTATACACAGTGACTTAGATTTAAACGCAAACTAACTATCCTATACAAATGTCGCTAGGCCATGTGCTTGCTTGCCCCTGCTCTTCTCCGCATACTTCCCTACCGGCCGGGCTAGACCACACCCGGTTAGGCCGATAGGCGGCGGGCGGTCACCGTTCTGCCGGATGATCATCGTGCCTCATTATCAATCTGATCACCCACACTCCGCTTGCTAGTCATCTCCAAGTCTGGCTGGTCCGTTGATTCTCACATATTTTCGGCTCATTTCATTTGGGGACCAAACTGTGATAACATAAACTCATAATGGCTGTCAACGGATCTGTCGAGTCCCAGTGGCTTGCCCAGCTGGCAGCCATGCGCCAGGCCATTGCGGACTTGAAGCTTCCCCAAGACCCCGCCAAAGATACAAGCTACGGAAGCGACCTGGACTTAGATTTCGACGAGGACTATTCATCGCCCGGAACTGCCGATGATGATATCTGGGACATTATCAGCTCTGACGAAGAGGCCAGCGACGACTTCGACGACTATGACGAGCTCCCCTCTCCTCCGACATCATCCGGCTACGACCAGCTCTGGCTTGAGCAGAAGTGCGTGAGCCTTGCTGCTAACAAGTCGGGTATGGATGCCGGAGAACTAGCGCAGCAAATTACCGCCGCCCTAGCGACGGACAGCGGAGACGACGAGCTGCAAATGTCACTGGCCGAAATCGTGGGATTCGATGACCTCGACTTCGTGATTGACCTCATTGCTCACAGGGCGGATATTGTTGCGAGCTCGCATACCGGACCAGAGGCCCAGACGGATGGATTGATGGCTGGGAAACTTATGACGAGAGCTGAAAGAGAGCAAGCTTTGCGACAGGCGGACTACGAACACAAGCATGCGTCCTTGATGCCGGCACAAACGAGATCGGAACCGCATTACCCTCATGTATTCAAACTGCACGAGTCCAGAAATGTCCTTGCGCTTGGAGGAAAGAGATACGGATTGCCAATGGGCAGTAAGCAAATCGATGAGAAGAAGTATACTGAGGTTGAGGTTCCCGCGTCCAAGGTCGGTACCTTGAGACCCGGGCATAAACTCGTGGAGATCGCCTCGTTGGATGGATTGTGTCAAGGCACCTTCAAGGGGTACAAGACCCTCAATCGGATGCAAAGTCTACTATATGAAGTAGCCTACAAGACGAATGAGAATATGCTGATTTGTGCCCCGACTGGTGCTGGTAAAACGGACGCTGCTATGCTCACAATTCTAAACGCCATTGGAAAGAACACTATTCCGAATCCTATCGAGGAACCGCAAGCCACTGAATTTGCAGTTCAGGTTGAAGATTTCAAAATCATCTACGTTGCCCCGATGAAGGCCCTGGCCGCTGAAGTTACCGAGAAGCTCGGAAAACGTCTTGCTTGGTTGGGGATCAAGGTTCGAGAGCTTACAGGTGACATGCAATTGACGAAGCGAGAGATTGTGGAAACACAGATCATCGTCACTACCCCTGAAAAATGGGATGTGGTGACCCGGAAGAGCACGGGAGATACAGAGCTCGTGCAAAAGGTGCGCCTGTTGATTATCGATGAAGTTCATATGCTTCATGACGAGCGTGGTGCTGTTATTGAATCTTTGGTGGCTCGTACCCAACGTCAAGTCGAAAGTACGCAATCACTTATCCGCATTGTCGGTCTTTCCGCAACTCTCCCGAACTACGTCGACGTCGCCGATTTCCTGAAGGTTAACAAGATGGCCGGTCTATTTTTCTTCGACCAGTCCTTCCGCCCTGTTCCTTTGGAACAGCATTTCATTGGTGTGAAAGGCAAACCTGGCACCAAGCAGTCTCGCGAGAACCTTGATACTGTAGCTTTTGAGAAGGTCCGTGATATGCTCGAACGAGGGCATCAAGTCATGGTTTTTGTCCACTCGCGTAAGGATACTGTCATGACTGCCCGAATGCTGAAGCAGATGGCCACTGAGGATGGGTGTGATAATCTGTTCAGCTGTCAGGAGCACGAAGGCTATTCAAATGGTCTTGGTGATGTTAAACGCAGCCGTGCTCGCGAGTTGCGTGAGCTTTTCGCCAGTGGGCTCGGGACACACCATGCTGGTATGAGCCGGAGTGATCGTAACCTCATGGAGCGCCTGTTCTCCGAAGGGCTCATCAAAGTACTCTGCTGTACTGCGACACTTGCGTGGGGTGTTAACCTTCCTGCTGCTGCGGTTGTTATCAAAGGCACCCAGTTGTACAATCCGCAAGAAGGTAAATTTGTCGATCTAGGTATATTGGATGTGCTACAGATCTTCGGTCGTGCTGGTCGACCCCAATTCCAAGACACAGGTATTGGTTTCATCTGCACGACCCACGATAAGCTCCACCACTATATATCTGCCGTAACATCACAGCAACCCATTGAATCTCGGTTCTCCAGCAGGTTGGTGGATAACCTGAATGCCGAGATTTCCTTAGGAACGGTTACCTCTGTCCCAGAAGCTGTGCAATGGCTTGGATATTCTTATCTTTTTGTTCGCATGAAACGAGAGCCACGCAATTATGGAATTGACTGGGCAGAAATACGTGACGATCCTATGCTGGTGCAAAGACGTCGTCAGCTAGTCATTCAAGCTGCCATCGTGCTGCAAAAGAGTCAAATGATCATATACAACGAAAAGACAGAAGAGTTGCGCGCGAAAGATGTTGGCCGCATTGCAAGCCAGTACTATGTCTTGCAGACCAGTGTTGAAATTTTCAACAATCTGATGCGTCCTCGAGCCAGCGAGGCGGATGTGCTCAGAATGATCAGTATGAGTGGTGAATTCGATAACATCCAAGCCCGGGAAACCGAGTCCAAAGAGCTAAATAGACTCCGTGACGAGGCCATCCAGACAGAGGTTGAGGGAGGCAATGACTCGCCA